AATTGCCAAAGCCACGCTTTCCGCTATCTTCTGCTCCTGGGAATTAAGAAAACAGTCGCGCCTCTGGCGTCATTAGCGGCACTAGGGCGCCGCCATCTAGGGGCGGGGCGTCCGGAGCCCTGGGCGTGGCTCAGAGAGTCCTGAGAGCAGAGGTCTGGCTTATTACGGAAAATGGCCTGAAGGAGGGGCTTTGGGGTTGGGCCTCCAGGCCACCAACCTCTCGGAATCTTCACTAACAAATGGAGGGACTCCAGACTCCGGGAAAATCTGCATTTTGCTTCTTGGGAAATGCATTGTAAAGTAGCAGAGAACAGTTCTCTCTGAGAATGCCGGCCAGTGGCAACATGGCTTGCTACGAAGGCTTGCGGTGGCCTGGAGGAAAGTGTTTTCTTTCCTGTCAGGGTGTGGAGGAGAGAGGCCAAGTGTGTTCTCTGTGTTTATTGTGCCTGCCTGGTCACCAAGCAGTCCTCCTTTGGTCAGGCATGGCAGGGTCTTAGCCCAGGTACATGCAGTTCCTTCTGTGCTAGAGCCAGCTGGTGCCAGACTCAGTTCATAGACATCTGTGTCAAAGATGATCATGAAATCTAGCAGACTTTTCTTTAATTTCCACTTGAACGTGTTTCTTTCTCCTCCGAGTTTAACTCACATTCCTCAGGGGCTTTGTGTGAGTCACAGCCCAAGTCTGCCAACAACAGACACTTTCTCAGTCTCCTGTGGAAATCCTAGGAAAAGAGCCTTCTTTCCCTTGGGCTTGTCGACAGTAATCTCCCATTTAGGATTTCAAGTGTCTGTGTAAAGAGTCCAGTTTTAGAGACACCAAGCTATTTATTTCTATAGGAAAGTCGACCTGATACCTTTCTCTTAGGACATCACCTTACTAGACAGGAAAAGGCTAATAGTTTGGTATTTCAGTGTTCTGGCGACCATAGAGAAATCCCAAACTGCAGAAGCACATGGTCTGTGGCCTCCTCCAGATTTTCCCCACATCCTTATTCTATGGAAACAGGTGCTTGCACAGAAGGGGCTGATACTTTGAATATGGCCTGGTGAAAAGCATGCCATAATTACGATGCCAACATTTGCCAGGGATGACATTGGCACTGAGGAATTAATATAGCTACAAAAGTGTTCTTCCATTCTATACCTGCGCTGTTGGAATCTACTAATGCATTGGAGAAGGCTTTAATCCACTATTTACTCACCCCTTGGGCCTTAGTCCTCTCTTACCTGTTATAGCCAAAGCTCCCCTGTCCTAGATGGCTGTTTTTATTGTTCAAAGGAACATCTCTAGAAACCCCAAGCCCAGAACTAGCCCAAAGAAGACACCTGGTAAATGGTATTAGTTTCCATTGTCCTCTCTCACACACTATGTAATATGCTGAAGCCCTTGATGAGCCTTTCCATACTATAGGCTTCCCTTTTGCCATCTTGCACAATTGTGCCTGTGCTTGGCACCAGCCTTGTCCGAGATCAACACTGATACTCAGGGCAGTGCCCGTAGCTCAGTAGGTAGGGTGTCAGCCACATACAACCAGGCTGGCAAGTTCGAACCCAGCCCAGTCCAGCTAAACAACAATGACAACTACAACAAAAAATAGCTGGGCATTGTGGCAGGTGCCTGTGGTCCCAGTTACTTGGGAGGGTGAGGCAGGAAAATTGCTTAAGCCCAGGAGTTTGAGGTTGCTGTGAGCTGTGACACCACAGCACTCTACCCAGTGCAATAATACGGTAGTGAGACTCTGTCTCAAAATAAAAAACAAAAAGTAAAAAAACCCTGATACTCAGCTGTAAACATTTTTTAATATAGAAGTTAGGCTTCTTACTGAGTTGAAATTAATCTATTTTATTCCTGATGCTACAATGTTATCATTTGCATTGGTATCCAGTCTACAGTTTATTTCAGTCATCCCAGTGGGGTAAATCATCTGAAGTCCAATTTTACCCTGCTCTCAGAAAGTGACCTGCTAGGTCATCTGTCAGAAAACTGAGTAGCAGCTTAGTGGGAGGCACTGCTGGGTTTTTTCACAAGGGCCAGAGTTCCTGAATAATTGCAGTGGACACAAGCTGAGTCATGATTGTTTTCTTGCTGTGGATTCATGTTGTGCTGAAGGTCCTTGGTACCTGCCTCTTCCTGGAAGCTTTTCCCCTAGTGAGTGGTGACAGGCCCATCAGGAAGTACCCTGATGATGTTCTATTCTTTGGACTTTGTGAGTTCCTGTAGGGAAGGTAAAACCCTTGGAATTGCTTATCTCCCTGTTGATTGCATTGCTTTCTCTATACTTGCCTGTGTGGATTTCCAAAATGTCAAGAAGCCAATACCACGGCTGGTGACTTAGAGGTTAGAGTTCCAGTCTTTGGGCAACTGTGTCTATTGTTGAGGAGTGCGGTATATATCAAAGGTGGTAGCCCCCAGGCAACTCTACTTTCAAGGTCTCTTTCTGTTTTTGAGGAAGTCATAGTATAAGACATACTATGGACTTAGACTACGCCAGACATTGGGCTATATACATCAATTACTTCCTGTAAAATTATTAATATCTTACATTATTATTATACCCTATCTTACAGATAAGGAGACTGAAGTCCACGGATGTCAAACAACTCACCCAAAGTTTTAATATATCGTAAATGAAATAAAGATAAGACAGTTTGGCTCCAGAACATACACCATTGACCTCTACACCATTCTGTGTTGTTAGAGCACCTCATTTAAGAAAAAGTATCAGGGTGATTACATGACTTACTCAGTTTGGGCAGCCAGTAAGTGGCAGAACTAAAACTAGCAGCTAGGTCTTCTGATTTCAAATCCTGTTCTTTTTTCAGCCTGACATTTTTTATTTCAGGTTCTCTAGAAAAGTGCATCTCAGACTTGAAGGTGCATTGGGATCCCATAGAGATCTTTTTAAGTTGCAAATTTTGATTCAGTACTTGTGTGGTAGGCCTGAGATTCTGCATTTCTTTTTTTTTTTTATTTCAGGTTATTGTGAAGGTATAAACAACAAGGTCACAATTTTTCAATTTTTTAGGTAGACTCCCTCTTGTAGTTGTGTCCTGCACCCAAAAGGTGTGCCATATACCCCCACCATGTGCCCTTTAAGTGGGAGCACAATAATCCCCCTTTCTGTCCCCCTCCCTTATTCCCCCTCCCCCTAACTTGAATAGAATTAAGTTTTTCTCCAATGTGTGTGTGTGTGTAAGATTGTCTACTGCCTTCATAATAAAATTGAGTACATTGGATACTTGCTTTTCCATTCTTGTGATATTTTATTTTTATTTATTTATTTATTTTTTGAGACAGAGTCTCACTGTGTCGCCCTCAGTAGAGTGTGGTGGCATCACAGCTCACAGCAACCTCAAACTCTTGGATGAAGTAATTCTCTTGCCTCAGCTACCAAGTAGCTGGGACTACAGGCACCCACCACAATGTCCCGCTATTTTTGTTGTTGTTGTTATCATTGTTGTTTAGCAGGCCTGGGCCAGGTTTGACCCACCAGCCCAGGTGTATGTGGCTGGAGCCCTAATCACTGAGTAATGGGCACCAAGCCTCTTGTGATATTTTACTAAGAAGAATGTATTTCAGTTCCATCCAGGTTAATACAAAAGATGTAGTCACCCTCTTTTCTTATGACTGAATAGTACTCCAGGGTATACGTATGCCACAGCTTGTTAATCCATTCCTGAGTTGATGGGCATTTAGGTTGTCTCCACATCTTTGCAATTGTAAACTGAGCTGTGATAAACATTCTAGTGCAAATATCTTCTTGATAAAATAATTTTTTCTTATCAGTAGATGCCTAGCAGTGGGATTGCAGGTCAAATGGGAGTTCTAATTTGAGATCTTTGAGGATTCTCCATACTTCTTTCTAAAGAGGCTGTGTTAGTTTGCGGTCCCACCAACAGTGTAAAAGTGTTACCTTCTCTCCCCATGCCAGCATCTGCAACTCTGGGACTTTGTGATATGGGCTGTTCTCATTGGAGTTAAAGG